TCCTCTCCCCCTCTCTCTCCTTCTCTCTCTCTCCTCTTCTCTCTCTCCTCTCCTCTCTCTCCTCTCCTCTCTCTCCTCTTCTCTCTCTCCTCTTCTCTCTCTCCTCTTCTCTCTCTCCTCTTCTCTCTCTCTCCTCTCTCTCTCTTCTCTCTCCTCTCTCCTCTCTCCTCTTCTCTCTCTCCTCTTCTCTCTCTCCTCTTCTCTCTCCTCTCTCCTCTTCTCTCTCCTCTCTCCTCTCTCCTCTTCTCCCTCTCCCTCTTTCTCTTTCCTTCCTCTCTGTTTTACCCACGCCTGTTTCTCCACTCCAAGCTTTGCTTCATCCCAGGAGCACCCGTGAGACATCTCCAGGTCACTGTGGATACCAGGGAGAGAGCAGTGCTGCTGCTTGGTGGTCCAGCACAATGAACAAAGGAAGCTCCACGCTGCTGCAGGGCTTCTTCCCATCTGTTGGCCTCACAGTGCTTGATGATAGAATTTATCTCAGGGGCTGTATCTCTTTTAAAGGCCAAAAATTGAACTTGGGGTTGAATTTTGGGATGAATCAGGAGCAGTTCTGGCAGTGGGCCGTTGTGTTTCCAGGTGGTTGTGTGTATATAATTTTTTTAAAATATTTTAAAATATTATTTATTCTCTAAATAAAGGGAATAAATAATATTTATTATTTATAATAAATAAGTGATAATAGCGAAGGTGAGGTGTGAGAGGATGATGGGATGGGATTTAAGTGATCTCATTCTTTCAGAATTTTTTTTCTGCCCTTAACAAAATTTACCTTTTTTATAATATACATCAATACTTTGACCTTGTTGGGGAATCGTGCTTAATTAATGATATTCCTAACATTTGGCCTTTTGTTTCCTTGTGTCTCCAAGTGAAAAGAGTTGATTTTGTCTTGGCCACATACTTAATGTTCACTCCCTGCATCTGGAATTGTTTGAGTGATTATTATTCCTTCACTTGCATATAAAAGGTTTTCTTTTGTTTGTTTGTTTTGTAATATCCTTTAGGAACTTGCAGTCTGAAGAGAAACATTCTTGCAAAAACTATTTGGAAGAAAAGAGTGCAGGCAATGTGTCCAGATTACTGAAATAAAATGGAACTTTTGAAGGATTGGACTTCAAAAGCTTCATTTTATTTCAAAAGTTGCATTTAAAAGTTTTTTTTTTTCATTGGACTAAGCTTTTTCCAAGACCCTGCTGGGCCACTTAACCTTGTTTCTGACCAGTTTTATATGAATTTAATGCAAACTGCCCTGTCCATTTTTCAGACTCCCTTGAAAAAACAGACTTCTCTGCTTGGGGAACCCCCAAAAGAAATACGACTGAGCACCAACCCCTACTTGAATTTGGCAAGTGTTTTGCCTGGCATCTGTCTGCCAGGTAAGCAAACATTTCATGGATTTCATTGCAAATTTCCACAGCCAGAGCGTGGCAAATATTTATCCTGTTTGCCTGGTAAATCCAGTGACCACAGCATTTATCCTCATGGAAATACTGTAGCATGTCTTAAAATTGCAGATTTATGCTGATGGTTAAACAGGGGTAAATTTTCAGAGGCTCACAAACTCCTTGAAGCCTTTCAGTTATTAAGCACTGATTAATTTACGGCACAGCCTAATGTGAAGAGGCAAATTTCAGTTTTAATCCTGGGATAGAACCCAATTTATGTGTTTTTTACTAGCCAGGTGTTTATTCAAACTCTGTTCTCTGTGTTCCCAGCAGCAATTGCCAGCAAAGCCTCCAGTCCTCCACAGCAGACCAGCCTTCCAAACAATGTCATGGATGCTGCTGTGTCTCAGGGAACTGCATCACAACATGCAATGGAAAATTATTTCAGTTATTCCCAGCAGCCTGGGGAATACCCACAGGTAAGAATTCCACAGCCTGGTGTCCCCTGGAATTCTCCCAGAGCTGTTCCTTGTTTTCTCTGGGTGTTCTTCCTGAGCCTCTCCAGTGACACTTTATCTCTTCCAGTGTTCAGATTTAGCACCAAGAACATTCCCTGCTCAAATCACAACCCTTGAAACAATTGCTTCTTGAGAGCCTGAACTCTGGGCACTCGCTAAAAAATGACTTCTCACCACCTCTGCCTTCAAAACCAGGGTTTTTTCTCTTTGCCTTCCCCAGAAGTTTTTAAGTCTTGAACTTTGGCTGGATGCCAGAGAAGAGAGCTGTGCCTCCCAGCTCCTGCAGAGCTTGGGGGATGTTTGCCAGCTGCTGTCAGTGCACAGGATGTGCTCCCCATCTGCCCCATGTGGTGATCAGAGTGTGGCCATGAGGTGCAGGCTCTGCAGAGTGCTGCAGTTCCACAGGACACTGGGAAAGAACATTCCCATATTTCCATTAACCATTCTGAGTCTGTATAAAACTGGAGCTGTCCAGATCAAATCTGAGAGCTGCCTCCTCCCCAGGCTGTCAGTGGGGAGACAGAGACTTTCCTGGGCTGCTGGCAGGGTCTGTGAGCCCCAAACTCCTGGGAGTCAGGTGGCTCCCGAGGATGGAGAGGGTTTGGATTGGGAGGCTCCCAGCCTGACCAGAGGAGTGAGGGTGAACAGAGTCACTGCACACAGCAGGGAGCTTTGCCAGACATCTCTTGGATCAGATCTGGTGCCTAAAGGGGCTCCAGGAGAGCTCCAGGGACAAAGCCTGGAGGGACAGGACACAGGGAATGGTTCCCACTGCCAGAGGGCAGGGCTGGATGGGATATTGGGCAGGAATTGTTCCCTGGCAGGGTGGAGGTGCCCAGAGGAGCTGTGGCTATCCCATCCTGGAAGTGTTCCCAGAACAGGAATTGTCCCTGCCTCACTGTCAGGCCAGAGGTACAGAGGTGCCTCCTGTACATTTTAAGCACTTACCATGATTTAAAATGTTTGATTTGAGCTTCACCAGTGGTGCTGAAGGTGTTTTGATGCTTCCTGGAGAGCTTTGGGTTGTAAGAATTGTAGGCAGACACAGGAGAGGATTTCTGCTCCTCTGTAGGAGGCTGTCCAGCAGTGGTACCAGCATTATGCTCAGGCACATCACTCTACCCAGGCCAGAGTGGATGGCTTGGAAAATGAAGCCTCTGAGGTGAGAAATCATTTTGTTTTCTTGCTGTCTCCACTGGCTGTTGCTGCCATCAGCTTTTGGACACCTGCTTTGTGTGTTGGCACAGGAATGAGGGGCTGGAGAGCGTGGGGTGAAGGCACTGCATGGGCACTGCTGCACCCCCTGGAGTCACACCCAAAATATCCCTCTCTAAAATCCCACCAGCCAAAATCACCTGGAACGCTCAGGAATGCATTAAAATATTCCCACCAGGAAGCAGCACACCACTAATGGCATTTCCCAGTGCTGAACTTCCCAGCATTGAAAGGCTGTTTCTGGCCCAAGCTGAGGTTTTTGTGAGCAAGGAGAAGGACACATTTTAAAGGAATTACACAAATTAAACCATCATCCAAATCCCACATTTTGCTCCAGGAATTGCTGCACACCCGAGCTGCTGGGAATTGCACCTCTTGTTACTCAGGTATTTCCATACCTGCTGAGAGCTCATCACCATAGCAAAACAAAACAAAAAAAAGCATCATTAAACCTTTTATGCTTCTACTTCATGGATCCCGTTCTGGATTCAGGAATCTACAGGTGGATCTTTCCCAGACTACAGCACCTGCCTGCAGGTGGTGCCTCCCCTTCTGAGTGGAGCCCAGGGATCGCAGCAGGGCTTGCAGTCTCCTCCGGCAAATCCCTTAAAGCAGGTGAGAGGAGAGGAGCAGCTGCAGACGCTTCTTCCCTGTCTGGTGCTGCCCCCAGTGGAGCTTTCCCTCTGCATCCCTGCTCCACACAATTCCTAGGAATGGGAGGAGAGGTTGGACCAGCTCCAGAGCCCTCCAGGCCCTGGGGATCAGCTCCTCTCAATGCCCCAAGACCCACGGGCAGGGCAAGGCTGGGTTTTGGGAGCTCCTTGGAGAGGTGTGAGTGTGCAGAAATGCCTGGAAGGAGGCAAATAAAGTAGGAAGAGAGGAGGAGGAGGTTCACACTGGGTTTAAATGGATATTTGTGTGACTTGCAGATGGTTTGCACTGGGATAGAATCTCTAAAGTGGAGAGAGCGGCTCAAAATTTCCTGGGAAGCAAATTAAAAAAAAACACAGGATAAATCTAAAGATTTTTCCCTGCCTGATTTGTAAAATACACAATTTTTTTTTGTGTGTGTTTCTAAAACAATTCTCGGAGCATCTGCAGGTTTACCTGGTCTTGGGAACATCCAGGTTACCAACTCTGGGGCATAAAATGGTTTTTATTTGGAATTACAACAGGTGCCAGCTGCAGCCTTCTTCAGCCAGACCCACTGAGCAAAGCTTCCTTTGCTGGGGCTCCAGTGGGCACCGAGTTCTCACCAGTAAATGGAGTAGGAATGCTTTGGGAGGAGTGAGGGCCGGTTTATGGAGTCTGGTTAGGATTTAGAACTCCTGAGGAGTTCCCTGTTGCTGTGCTGTAGGTAAATCCCATGGCTCCTGTTTTTATGGGTGGGAGAGCTGAGGGGCCTGGCCCTTGCATCACAGCATTAAATCCTGGGGGTTCAGTTCTGGCATGAGGCTGGGCATGAGATCCCAATTTTTTTTTGGAGATTTTGAAGGCAGTACATTCCTTTTAACTCCAGCAATTCCTGACTCGTGGGTAGAGCTGGCTGTGAGCTGGTTTGGGGTGAAAATGGCCAAAGCCTGGCCATGGGTTGGGACATGAAAAAATGGAATTTTCAGATTCCCAACAGCTTTCCAAGGCTGGAAATGATGGAGTGGCAGCAGAAGGAGAGAGTGTGGGGTTTGAGCCAAGCAGCTCCTCTCAGTTTATCTCCAGAGAGGTTCCTGGGGTGGTGCAGAACAGCTCCCTGGGATGTTGGTGTTAATGCCAGGAGCCATAAAAGGCAGGAGGAGCACGGTCAGTGCCTTGGCAGAGGCACAGCAGTGCAGTTTGCCTCCCAAGTGCTGGAATTGCAGATAAATCTCAGTGAAGAGGCTGCTCCAGGAGCCTCTGTCAGTTCAGGGACCCTGCAGCTCGTTCAGATCCTGCTTTTTGGGGCTTTTCTTAATGCTGCTGTTTCAGAGGCTCAGGAGGAGCAGGGTCAGGGGGTTTGTGTGAAGCATCAGTGAGCCAGAAGCTGGTGGAGGGACACAGGACGTGGGTGACATTCCTTGGCTTTCAGAACTGCAGGAGAGAGGACAGGCGGAAAACTGAAGTCTCTCCTGCATCAGTTTTGTGTTTGTGATGAAGGTGCCCCCAGGATGAAATCGGCCTGAGCAGTTTGAGCTGTGGCTGTGAACAGCACAGGGTGCTTGGAGAGCTGCTGGGAAAGGTTTTTCCAAAGGGAAGGTGAACCCAGGGAGCCCTTGGGGCAGCCTTGGAGCAGCTGTGCCCTCACAGAAACCCCACTCTGGGCCCCTCAGGGCTGTGTCAGCGAGGAGCTGAAATTTCCATTAAAGATCCATTGCCGCTCCATCCATCCCTCACTCCCGTGTGAAGGCAGGGCCTGAGATCCTGCACAGACCCGCTCTGGCACAGCTGGAAAATTCATCTTTCAGCCCCTGGCTTGGTGTGGGAGCTGGGCCAGGACTGTCCAACCCCTTCAGCTCCCCAGGAGGAGTGAAAGGTGCCTCATCCTAAAGGCTGGGGATGGCTGGATCAGCTGCAGGACAGCACCAAGGCCATTATCCCACTGGATTTTATCCAGGTGCTGTGGAATGAGGCCACTTGGCACCACAGCTGTGCTGGGGCACTGATCCCTTTATCACTGGGGTTTTTTTAGGGAAAGGGCACAAACCCTGAACTTCCAAGCCGATGGAGCCGGGTCTTTGGTGTCGCTTCCCTGGGAATGCCCAGCCTGGAGCGCTGTTATTTGGGAGTGGTGGTGGCTGGGGTGTCACCTGTCCCGTTTTGCCTGCAGGTGGCCCCGAAGCGCAGCTCCTCGTACCTCATGTCCTCCCCCGAGCCCGGCCCCGTGGAATTCCCGGCTCCCGGCGGAGCCGCGCGCTACTCGGAATCCTCCCTGAAGAAGAAGCGCGTGTATTGATCCATCATCCCCACGGCTTGATCGATTCCCAGCCCAACCCGGGGTAGGGAAGGCAGGTGGGAATCCCTCTGTATTTATTGCTGCCTTAACTTCAGACAATGAGTTCTTTCTGTGTGGGGTGAGCGTCCCAAGAGGAGCCAGCTCTGTCCCGGCACATCCAAGGACGCTGACGGGCGTGGCAGAGGTGGTGGCTGCTTTCACTTGGAGAGGAGGGGACAGTGTTGGCTTTGTCACCTGTGGGCTGAGGGACAACAGCACAGGGACTTGGGGAGCTGGGACAGCTCCAGCTGAAAGCAATAAAAACTCAGAGGAAAGCAAGCTGATCCTTTCTCCAGTCCTCAGCCTGAGGAAGTTAAAAGAGGAAGTCTTGATAGTAATTATTTTGTATTTTTTTAAGTCAGAATGTGGGGTTGTTTTTTTTTCCTTCCAACTTTCCTTTTTCCAGGATTAAGAGCTCTGCATTTACAGCCTTTCAATTTTTAATATTTCTTCTTAATCCTGGAATGGAGCGATACCAAATGGATTCCCAGAGCCTCAGTGACGTTCTCAATAAATGCCTGTTCAAAGGGAGATGCTATCCTGTGCTGCCTTGGAATGTTCCTTGGGATTTGGAGAGTTGATCATTGGACAGTGGAATAACTCTGTTTTTAGGCTGAGAATCCACAGTTTTTCCATGGAGAAAGTAATTCCCAGTGTGAGGCAGCATCCTCCTTCCACAGGTGTGGGACAGCTCTTCCTGGGCCACCCCACATTTGTTTCCCACTTTTGAGTGTATTTTCCTTCATTTTTTTTTAAAGACTTTTTGTATTTTTAGCTTATTATCAGCTTTGGCTCAAGTTGTTCTCTTCTGCCATCAGCCCTTGGAGCTGGAGATCAGCAGTCCTTCCTTTTGCCACAGGTAAATGAGGAGCCAGCCCTCATTCCAAGGCTTTTTCCCCTTGGAATCCTGCTGCAAATCCATTTGGATTGAGTTCACCAAGGCCAGGAGCCACCTCCTTCTCCCTTTTCTTTGCTAGAGAACACTGAAGCCATTTTTCAATACTGATTGTTTTTTTTTTAAATTAAAAGTCTTAAACTTTGCCTTTCAAGCTTTGGGATGTGACCAGGATCCACATTTTCAAAGCTTAAAAAAATCCCAATCAAAATCCCTCTTCCCTCAGCTGCTGGAACTGCTCCACAAACAGGAGCCAGGAGCTTTTCTGGGATTCTGCCTGTATGTATTGTTAAATTCACTTGTAATATTTTGTTTCGGCTGTTTGTATATGCAACTTTCTCAACTTGTTACACTTTTCAATGAAAATAAATTGTTGGTACTTATTTCAAGTGGATTTTTGTGGGAGGAAAACAGCCCAGGACTCCTTTAATCAGGTAAGGTAGGAAAATGTTTTGGAGGAAGATCATTCCTATGGAAATTCAATTTTAAAAACTGTTTATGATTAAACAGGGAGGCACATGGAGAAAAAAAAAATCTTTATTAGACTTGTTTGTATAAAGAGTAACAAAGTGCTTACAGATTAAATTCAGCTTCCTAAGTGACATACAGAAACAATAACACTGTAAAAATAAATCTGACTTCCTTGGAGCTCATAATTACAATTCTTTATATATATTTATATATATATATATAGACCTCTTTCTATTATTGCCAAAACTTGAGGATCTCTTCAGAGCATTTTCCAACTCCAGATGTGGTAGGAAAAACGATGGCAGCAGAAGGTTCCAGTTTAAACCATTCAAGGGCTGAGTGAAAATGTTCTTTAAAAAATTAGTTGGAGGGGTTCCCCTTGCCCAGGACACCCCTGGGTGCTCAGGCCTTTTTTTTCCTTTTGGATAATTCCCTCCAGATTCTGGGCATGGAGTGGGTTCTTCCCCATCTCCATCAATTCCTTCCCTGCACATCCCTCAGCACCAGGGATGCACATTCACCCCTTCCAGGGCTGCACCCAGTCTGGGAGCTCCAGGGGGAACAAAATGGGGCTGGAGTTAGGAAAAGCCAATTATTTACCCCAAAATTTGGGTTCTCACTGAAATGCACAACTGTGCCCACCCCTCCTTGCTTCTGGGGGTGGTGTTTTCAAACATTTGTTTTTAAATACCTGTAAGAGCTCAAGACTAGGGCCTGGTGGGTTAAAAAGAGCTGAAAATTTTTGTCTCCCCTATATTTTTATGCCAGAGTTGTTTTGTTTGGTACTAGGATTTAAGTGCATGTGAAGGATATTTTGTCAGCTGACTTTAGAATTATTAATTGAGCCCTGTTACATCCACTGGCTGAGGTCAGAGCTGAGAAACGCTCACATTTCCCAGCTCACATCATCCATCATGGCAATTCCAATTGTGGCACAGCCAGAATCAGAGCAGGATAAAACTGCCCTGCAAGAACAGCAGCAAAGGGAGCTGGAGCTCATTTTACCCAAACCTTTTAAATTCTTTTAATCCAACTCTTCAATCTGTTGGCAAAAGAATCCTTTAGAACCACATCAGCCCAGCCAGAGTACAAATTACAGGAATAAAAAAAAAAATTTAAAAAAAGGGAATAGCCTTGGGCACAGATAGTTTGCTGGGCATTTAAAGTCCTGACAGAATAATAAAAAAAAATTAATTACATTTTACTCATAATTGTTTCAAATCCTTGGATCAGGTTGTGGAAGGTGGTGCGTTCATCGTGTTTGTAAATCCAGCACTTCCTCATCAGCTGATCCACCTGGCAGGAGAAACAGGGATATTTTTAAAGGAATGAAACATTTCTATGGGTTCAAGTAAAGACAAGGGAGCAGAGTCTCCCTGAAGGAACAGAAACACCTCAGGTGTTGGGCAGGGGCAGCAGGGACCTGAGCAGGGGGTTTGGTCAGTTCAGGTTTAAACCAACACAGCAGCTCCACCTGGGGAGCTGCACCCCAGGAATTGCTAACATCAGAGGTTTCCCAAGGAATTTTCATGGATCTGGGTACTACAGCAAGTCCTTGATCTGCTGAAGGGACATCACGGACTTGGGAATGTTAATAACAAAAAACATCTTAAAACAACACCTGAAAACATTGCAAATGTCTTTTTCTGAGGGTTTTCCTACCTGAGTGGTCAGGCCTGTGGAACCTGGGATGTGTGACCCCTCTAGGGCTGAATCAGTGTCCGACAGGGACTGATGGACCCATCCATCCATCCGTCATCCATCCATCCATCATCCATC